TAATCAAGAACTTCTTTCTGCTTGTATCCCTTAACAACAAGCCTAGCCTTGTATTTATCTATTGAACCATCTGCTTTCATTTTTCTCTTGAATATCCACTTATATCCAAGAGGTTTACACCCTGGTAGAAGATCCACCAGTTCCCAAGTATGATTTTGCAGTATTGATTCAATTTCACTATTCACAACCTCTCTCCACAATGGAGCTTCAGGACTTGACATTGCTTCCTTGAAGTTTTAAGGCTCATTTTCTAATAGGTATGTCAAAAAATCTGGACCAAATGATTTAGAGATCCTACGCCTTTTGCTATGTCTAGGTTTATCTATTTCATTATCATTGTGGTCTTCACTGCTACCTATAGCAGTATCAAAAGTTCTTTTATTTGAACTTGTCTCTTTAGTTTCCTTGTATGAAAAAATGTGTTCAAAAAACGACGCATTCTTTGACTCAATAATAGTGTTTACATGCATATCAGGATTTTTAGATCTATGAACTAAAAATCTGTATGCATTACTATTATTTGCATAACCAATGAACACACAATTAATAGTTTTTGGTCCTATATTAGTTGTTTTGGGACTAGGGGCTGCCACTTTGGCCAAACCCCCCCCACACTTTGAGATAATTGTAAATAGGTCATCGACCTTTCCATAATTCATAAGGTGTTTGATTGAGTTTCTTGTGAGGTACCTTGTTAAGGATAAAATTAGTAGATAAAATCGCTTATCTCCACAAATTCTAAGGTAACCCTGAACTAATCAACATGGCATTCATCATCTCTTTAAGAGTTCGATTCTTTCTCTCAGTAACTCCATTTGACTGAGGAGAACAGAGTGTAGTAGTTTGGTGAATAATACCATATTCAGAACAAAATTCCTCAAATGGTGTATCATACTCATCACCTCTGTCACTCCTCACGATCTTAATAGTTTTGCCAAGTTGATTTTCAACCTCAAGTTTATATTACTTAAAAGCTTCTAAGGCTTCATCTTTACTTCTCAATAAGTAAACATAGCAATATCGAGTGCAATCATAAATAAAAGTAATAAAGTACTTCTTACATCCTCTAGTTTGAACAAATTTTAAATCACGGATATCTGTGTGAATTAAACTTAGAGGTTCAGTACTTCTTTCTACTTTATTAAATAATACCTTAATGAGTTTTGTCTCAACACAAAATCTCACATTTATGATTATGATCAAACTCTAAGTTTGCTAAATATTTTAAAGAAACAAGTCTACATAAAGAATTAAAATTTACATGTCTTAATCTATCATGCCATAAAAAAAAAAGACTTAGCAATATAAACAGAAGATGTATTCTTATTATTAATAGCCAAATTTGGTACAACTGTATTTACATTGAGCTGGAAAAGCCCATCACTCATATAATCTCGCCCCACATACATGCCACTCTTGGAGAGTACAACATTGTCAGATTCAAAGACTAATTTAAACCCATTTTTGATTAACAATGGCTCAGAAATCAAATTCTTGCGAATCTCTGGCACATGGAGTACATTATTAAGAGTGAGTTCTTTCCCCGAGGTCATTTTCAGCACGATCTTTCGTTGTTCTTCCACAGTTGAAGTGGAGGAGTTTTCCATAAGAAGCTATTCCCTACTTTCCACCACCTTGTAGGTTGTGAACATCTTCTTATCTGCGTAGATGTGGCAGGTTACTTAGTATCTACCCATTACTCCTTGGGATTGCCTACCAAATTTGCTTTAGAGACTACTTCAGCAAGATTGATGTCTATTACTCCATCGGAAAGATAAAAATCCTCGGCTATGTTGGCTTGTGCCGGCTTTTTGCTTGAACTCCCTCCATTCTTGCGAACGTGACAATCCTTAGCGCGATGTCCATCTTTGCTGCACACAAAACACTTGCCTTTGAACCTCTTATTGAACCCGTTGTAGATCCATTTGTTGATCTTACCTGTAGATCCTTGTTTGGGACCATTGCTATCATGTTTCCGCTTTTTGTTGTTGAATTTTGACCCATGTTCATGTTCTACAACATTTACTTTAGTCTGCATGACATGGTTTCCTGACTTCTTCTCAGAACCACGGTTGTCCTCCTTAATTCTGAGCCGTACTAGTAGTTCCTCTAATTTCATCTCCTTGCACTTATGCTTTAGATAATTCTTGAATTCTTTCCAAGATTGTGGCAACTTTTCAATGATTGTCGCTACTTGGAAAGATTCACTGAGAATCATCCCTTCCGCATGTATGTCATGGAGAATTAATTGGAGATCTTGAACCTGGCTAATAACTGTCTTGGAATCTATCATTTTAAAATCTAAAAAATGGCTGACAACAAATTTCTTTGTACTGGTGTCCTCTGTTTTATACTTATAATCTAGAGATTCCCACAATTCTTTAGCAGTGCTTTTAACACTATACACATTGTACAGTGTATTATCCAACCCATTGAGGATATAATTCTAACACAGAAAATCACCATGTTTCCATGCGTCGACTGCGGCAACCACTTACCAGTTAGTTTCTCCTTCATTCAGTGCTGGTGTTTTTTCATGAGTGAAGCGAGCCAAATTCAATGTTGTAAGATAAAACATCATCTTTTGTTGCCATCCTTTAAAATCATTTCCGTTGAATTTTTTCGGCTTCTCCCAATGATTTACCGGTATTGCTGGAGTCATCACTGGCACAACAGGTGTGGGAGTCAGAGTAATAACAGTCTCAGTACTGTTTATTTTAGTTTTCATAATTCTGACGAAATAATAAGACACCAATCACAAATTTATATAGAAAAAATTTACATACAAAATATACAGAATAATATTTTGTAATAAAATTCCAATGATAAAAAGTATATTACTACTATGTTATCAAAGAAATCATTAAATAGTATATTACTACTATTTAATTTCCCGAAACAAAATATTCGTCTGTTTAACACAGAAATAAATAAAAACTAAAAATGTACTTTAAGATTGTTATATTCATAGTGATGTGTGTGTGTAAATTAAATGTATAAATTAAATAAACAACAAAATAAAATAATTTAGAAAATAGTTATATAAATTAAATTCCGAATTAAATGCTTACAGAAATTAAAGTCGAGGCTTGTGTTGGACACAATCTTTTTAAAGTAGATATCGCCCTCGCTCTGGTGCTTCAAGTTTTAACGGCGTTTATTTCGCAGGATGCAACCACTAATACTTGAATTTATAGCACTAAAAAATCAAGTCTGGCGGACCAAACGATGTTGTAACTCTTTCTCTTTCTTTTCCTAAAAATAAATGTAGAAACAGATGCAGGAATAAAAGAAGACGAACAAACGAAGAAAGAGAAGAAGTCTGGAAATTTTTTTAATGGAAATAAATATTGGATGGCCAACTATTTATAGGAGGAATAGTAGTTGTTCAAATAGGCAGATAAAAACCTGTTCGTACAGATTCAATACTGTTTGGACAGATTCGGTTGGAATTCAACAGGTATGAACACGTTTTGAACCCTTTGAATCTGTTCGGGTGGATCTATACCTGTTAGGGATTTGTTTGAGTGAAGGAAAAATTCTGGACCAATTTATTTTGAATTTTGAAAACAAAATAAAAAAATAAGTATTGGGTCGAACAAACCCAACCCAACCCAAGCTCACACCACGTACCCGCGCCTAGGCCCAGCCCAGCCTGTCCTGACAGACGGCGGTGGCTGCGGCGCGTGCGTATGGTTTTTGTTTTGGGTCCAATGGGTCTAGCCCACTTCACCCATAACATCACCCTTCTACAAACTTTAGTATCCCTTGGGGCTCATCCAAAGTATCCAAAGTTAAGGTATATAAACCCAAATAAATCCTTAAGCTTTCTAATGTAGGACAAACACATTTCACAAATGTGTAGGAAACCCACCTAAAGTTAGTTCCACAAACCCAAAAACACGCATTGAATTAACATTCGTCTGGAAATGGTTTTGAGCAACCAAATACACGGTTTTATTCACTATGTGACAATAAACATTAGTCTACTGAAAAACGTTAAAAATAACACTTGGGTCCCACCTTAATTAATGCTCAAAGTTAGCAAAAAATAATGATTTTACAAAGCCATTTTCCAACAATTGCCTCGTTTGGGAAGTGGCTATTTTAGTAGGCTATTTGGCTTTTTGGCTATTTTAGTAGGCTATTTTAGTTTTTGTGTTTGGGAAGTTGAATATAAACCCAAATAAATCCTTAAGCTTTCTAATGTAGGACAAACACATTTCACAAATGTGTAGGAAACCCACCTAAAGTTAGTTCCACAAACCCAAAAACACGCATTGAATTAACATTCGTCTGGAAATGGTTTTGAGCAACCAAATACACGGTTTTATTCACTATGTGACAATAAACATTAGTCTAATGAAAAACGTTAAAAATAACACTTGGGTCCCACCTTAATTAATGCTCAAAGTTAGCAAAAAATAAGGATTTTACAAAGCCATTTTCCAACAATAATATATAGGTTGGTTTGGTTCGGTTCTTTGGTCCATAGGCTAATGTGAACAGCCTATTGCCTATGTGTTAAAAAAGAAAATGAGGAGGATCCTCAAGTCCAAAGCCTAGATTGGAGGGCGTTGTTTGGACTCATTGAATCCACAACGGGTTATGTTTCAATAATTTAAACCATTCATTTTGTTAGGCATTTTGTGTATTTCATCCATGAAAAAATTAGGTCGATCTAATAATCGCAACTTATTCAATATATCGCGTTTGTTACAAAAAAAAAATAAATAAAAAATAGACAACAATTGTGTTTTTAAAAACCAACCATCTATTTTTTATTGACAAACATTATAAATTGAATAGGTTACAATATCGGATCGATTTAATTTTTTTTCTAAATTAAATATAGGAAGTATTCAACAAAATAAATAGTTCGAATCATTGAAACGAAACTTGTAATAAGCCCCGGTTTGGCAACTGTTGTGAGGCTAAATAAGCTCAAGATGACAAAATGACATTAGGAAATCACAAACAGCCAAAAATCAAATTGTTGCTTCTACACGTGAGCTAGGAGACACGAGTATGAATGGACAATTACCAAACTACCCCATATACACCATTGCTCAAATGTCTGCGTATTTGCTGGGCTTCTATTCCTGCCTTAACAACACTAAGTAGACAACGACCAAGAACCAGAGAGGTACCAGAAGACTACCCAAATCAAACGACCGATCCAAGCCTTGCACGCTTCCTCAACACCTCGACCATCCTTTATGTGTAGCATTCTGCCGTGTTTGCATCTCTGGTACGCATAACTCGATTTATTTTGGGGTTTTCCTCTCCTTGCACGAGATATCAATTGTTTCTTGTGTGTATGTTCAAATTTCGTCGATTTTTGTGTTCGATCAGTGGTAAAATGCTTTTGTTGGTGTCAATGGAGGTTTAAACCTGAATGTCTCTGTACAGAATGTCTCCATGAACTCAACGAAGTACATCAACTTGCACCATTTCTGTTTTGTTTTGTTTTTTTTTTTCTTTTTTTTTATTGTCTCTTGTTTTTGTAATCTGTTACACAATTTTTTTTTTTTTTTTTTGTAACTCCCTCCAAATGGTTGCTTCCACATATATAAAGTAGTTTCATATTTTTTGTAGTCATGTTCGTTTTGGTTGTTGATGAACTGAACAGAGCAATGTCACTTGATTTTTTTGTTATTTTGTCATTTTTTCTCTTCAAAGTGTTAGCACTATATATATATATATATATTTAACTCAACGGACCTCAAATTGCCCATACAATGGTTGCTTCCAAATTGAGGTTGGATAAGCATTTTGTGAAACACAAAACCAATACATAAATCAATTGCTCTGCTTTTCCAATAGTTTTGGTGCCTAATGTAGTAGAAACACAATAGAGATCATTTGAACTTTTTACTTTCTTTTTAATTTTTGGCTTTTAAATCTGTTACCAAAAAATATTGTTTTCGTATTTTTTTTTCTTTATTTTTTTTTGTCCCTTCTTTTTTTGATCTGTTACACAATTTAGTTTTTAACTCACTGCAAATGGTTGATTCCAAATTTATGAACTAGTTTCATTCTAGTTGTGTTTCATTTTAATTTGATACCAATATTGTAATTGTTTTTCCATGTGCCTAGTGGTTTAGCTATAACAAAACAGAGCAGTTGAACTGTTTAAGTTGTTTTTTAAATGTTGTCTGTTAAATCTGTTACCAAGTTTCCTTTTCTTTGGGACCTAGGAGTTTTTGTTGTCGTATGCTTATTCGCCAACCAATAGTTCAGAAGAAAAAATAAGAAGAAAGGGAAATAGATCTGTAAGGTTCATACCATTTGGAATACAAAATGTGTGACTACAAAATAGAATAACTACTTTCATCCTCAGAACCTCATTACTCAACTGGAACTAGGAATACAAGCAACTATGGAACTTGTTAAAATTAAAAATTGTTGCTTAGCTAGAACTGTGGATATGTTGTTTGTATAATTGTTTGTATAACTATCTCAAGGAAAAAGATTGTGAATTGTGAAGAAGGCAAACACAAAATCTTTTACTGAACATTTTCCATGTGAGAGAAAATGGATCAAACATCTATACGTAGGATAAAATGGATTGACGTCCACATAGATGTTATTCATAATCAATGTCCAATATCTTTTCTTGAGTGTCACAGTATGTAGGTTTCCATGAAGTACCTGACATATATTTATGACTTGTTAGTGTCTTGAGTTCCTTAAGTTCAAGATGAAGTCAAATCCTATGTGTATGTGTGTGTGTATGCATTTCTAGGTATGTATTTATGCATTTTCATACTAAAACAGTAATGGTAAAACATGATGTTACTTTAAGTGGAGAGGGTTTATGCTAAGATCTCCACACATTCCATCCATGTTTCTGAACAAGAGTTTTACTAACATGTTTACAACAAATCCTGTAGTACACAACCATCTCATTACCACACATTTGATATATGTCAAACACACACGCATGCCTTACACCTTGTCTTCTTCTGCTATTCATCTATGGTACAAAACAAAGCATGGCTTCTTTCATGTCAACTAGCACATCTACTACATGGCCACGTCGTACGTGTGCCTATGGCTACGGTCAATGTCTTGTCAAGATTTCCAGATCTCATAAAAATCCAGGATGGGCTTACTACACGTGTCCAAATCCTGCGGTGAGTACACCCTTTATTTTCGGTGACATATTTCAATTCATTTAGTAAATTTAACTAATACCTTTGTACATAAATTTTGTCAGCCATGTTTAAGTTGGATTGGTTGGTGCGACGAACCTAGGAGACCGAACACCGACTCTAACTTAGCTACACACGACATTGTCATGCACTTGCAGGATGATGTCATTTGCATTCAACAAACGTTGCGTCTCTTGAAAACCATTGTTTATGTGTTGTGCATTATCGTTGTAATCTTACTGTTGCATATGTGAAAATATTCCTAGTGTCTTGTTAGACCCTAACGAAGCTACTATTGTAATGACTTATCTTTATTGTGGACTTGATAACAATAGCTTTGTCAATGACTTGTACGGGAATGGTGGGTTGGATGTACATAATTGTTTCTTTTCACTATCTCTAAAAAAAATTTGATAGAATGTCATAATCGCTATCATATGTTATTGCGCCAATTCGTTTGGGTGAGTAATACGCATACATGTATAAGGTACTTATACTTTAATTTATCAATTGCACTATCTTTATGGCTTCGACATGAACTTCACTACGTACCCTTTCCAAAAATAAAGGGGTGGCAAGGGCCTGAGCAATCGTTATAGAAGACAGCCAAAATGTTCACAAAACTGTGTGGGATTTTGAATCCACAAGGCTTTTCCTACAACATATTGTCAATGAGATTCTTCAGGGCAACTGGCCATTCATGGTTTTGAGCAGCGCTGTGTACAAGTCGTTGGCAAAGAAATTTGAAAAAAAAAAAAAAACTGGCAGAAAACATGATGTAAAACAATTGAAGAACAAGTACGCATTCATGAAACGAGATTCGACTATGTGGATGAAGTTGATGGACTGTACCAAAGGAATAATCAGGATTGGGTTTGATGTAGAAACAAACATGTTTCAGGCTTCCGATAAAAGGTGGGGTTATATGGAACTAGCAAAGTATTTACTCCATTTTCTTACCTTTTTGCATTGCTTTCATTTTTATTTGGGCTTTAATTTATCACTAATAGTTTTGGTGTTTCTTGTGCTGCAGATAAACAAGAGTTGTGCAAAGTTCAGGAATAAAACTTTGGAGCACCGGGAGTTGATGAAGATTGTCTTCACAGGGGCTGCAATTGGCAAACATCATTGGACACCGGGGGAGAGGACTGTCGAAGATGACGAAGGATCTTTTGATTCAGTTCAAAGCCTTGGTATGCGGGCATTTGCTGATCCAATCCCTTCATTGGTATTGACGTCGATGTTGAGTCGTCAATGGAAGGTGTTGAACCTCGGGTTGACACTAGGGCAAAAAGGAAAAGGAATACTCCCACAAGTTTAGGAAAGTCACAGAAGCTGACTAGTGGAGCATCTGCTATAGTTGACAGCGTGAACAATCTAACCAATGTCGTCCGGAGTCAAAACCAACAACTTACTGTTAGGTACTTAATTGGTAATGAGTCGTTGTACACAATTTCAAAGTGCACGGAGAGGCTGAAATCCATTCCTGCCTTAGTGGGTACATCTTTGTTCCACTTTGCATCGTCTTTTATGGACAACACTGATTACAAAGAGGTTACGATGTGCCATCTCGATGATGACCATATTATCGAGTGGCTTACACAAAAGCAACTACAAAGCTATGCTGCAACTCCATTTGCAAACCTTTTTGGTACACGACAGGTTTGATGGCTACTGGGAAGGGCCACGGGGTTGGGTGGCTGCTAGGAACTGATAGGAACTTCTCATTTTTATGTGTTGATGTTTTCATGGGAACTTATTATAGTGTTAGATTTTTAGGACATAATTAGGTTTTTATTTTTCTTGTTTTTGTTTTTGTTTTTGTTTTTTTTGTTTTTGGGTTTGATGGGCTGGCTTCACTTGGATGGATGGTTTGTGGAACAATATGACCAGTTTGTGTCTTGTTTATTGTTTTGTTTTTGTTTTTAATTTCTGTGTGTGGATGAAATGGATGATGTATGCATCTTTGGTATGGCAGCTTGCTTTTATTTTATCTTGGTTATGCATGGTCTGCTGTTGATGAGTCGATGTCATGTTAGTTAAATGGTTGAATAAGTTCAAAGTGCCAGTAAAGATTTTAACGTTGGACATAAGTCTTGTAGGCCTTGCCAAAGTCGTGGCCATGTCTAACGAGGAAGGTAGCAACAACGATGACTTTGTGGAGCAAATAAACCAAATGGCTATTCAGATTCAAGAACAAAATAATTGGGCGTACGTGTAAGCATATCGGTATGTACAAGAATATTGTGAAAAATACATGTCAAAAACACCATGTCGAACGCCAATATTGACTAGACGTGCATGAATATGTGAATTATACGATGGACACATTGGTCGTTTTGAAGAAAATGTATGTATACCGAAAGAAGTATTTTCTTTGTTGTGTGACACATTAGTTAGAGATTTTGGTTTATGTGTTAACCAACATAGCCATGGATTAACCGTGGAAGAAAGCGTTGCAATGTTTATACATGTGTTGAAAGGGTTTAAGAATAGAGCCATCCAAGAATGGTTTCAACATTCGGGTGAAACCCTAACATGCCACGTGCATTATGTTTTGGAGGTGATGAAGAAGTTCACTGTTGTGCATTGTAGGCCAACAATAAATCAAAATGTTCAACATCCTCACTTGCGGTCAAAAATGAAATACCTACTACACAAGGTACAGCTTCTGGGTTTGCAAAACATATTGTTTCTTTACATCAAAGTTTTGGCACATATTGTAATTTGTTTTCCTGAACTTTTTTTCTGTTAGAATTGCATCTGCGCAATCAATGGCACGCATGTTGCGAAAGTAACGGGGCCTGATGCAGCGACCGATTTTGGATGCAAATACTGTCACAACTACAAATACAGATAAAGACCACACTTTTTTTGTGTGATGTATGTTTTTTAATCACACCTTTTAAGTTTTATTAAAGTGTGGTCTTTGGGAGTGTGATTAAAAGGGGTCATTTTTAATCACACTTTTTAAGTGTCATTAAAAAATGCTTTCATCACACCTTTTAAGTGTGATTAAAAATATTTAGACCACACATTTTAAGTGTGATTAAAAATATTTAGATCACACCTTTTAAGTGTGATTAAAAACATTTAGATAGTGTGATTAATAACATTTAGATCACATCTTTTAAGTGTGATTAATAACTAATAAAACATGTGATTAAAAAAATAGAATTCGACATATTTGAAGAATAATCAATATTATTTTTGTACGCGCATTTGAAGAATATAATACACACTATATACTATATTTTGAGTCACAACCATATATTGAATGGAATAACGTCATATATTTCATAAATAAAAGTTAAATGTTCAAAAGTATATACAAAGAAATTAATAAAAAAGTTTTTAACTGTGATTACATATATTAAAAAATAAAAAAAAAAACTTGAAAAAACTATGTTCTTGAATTCTTTGACCATATTTTGCATCTCTCCAAGAAATTTCTGACCTGAAAAATAAAAAAACAAATTAATTTAGAAACCGCTAGAAGCATATGAAAAAATGTACTATTTTTATAGAGACTGTTCTTGTCTTACAAAAGGCAAAATCGAACATTTTCTCATCACACTGACTGTTCATCCCCTGCATCAGTAGAAAGAAATAACGAATTTGATTATTACTAGTATAAAATGTTTGTATTACCATATATAAATATGACATATACATATGGAGCATGATTGAACAGTATATATAAACACATATTAGTAAATCATAGCCTTGAAAAATTTTTGTCAAAAAATTATTATAGCAACACATCAACAGAGAGAGTAAACTAAACTAAATCCCAACAAAAATTAAAGCTCAAATCAAGGTAGCGAAAGAAAAGCAATTAATATACCAAGTCAAGATGGGTCAACTCCAAAAGACTAAACAAATGAACAATCCCCCACAGTTCCAGTATTTGAGTGTTGAGCAATTCCACCAAGATTTTAACAATTATGTACTGGTGTATCTGTTTTCAAATAAGAAAAAATATAAGTAGAGAGTGGATAGAAAGAGAAGAAAGAGATGAAATGATGAAAGAGAAAAGAAGAAAAGAGCACAAAAGAGAACAAGTTTAAAAGAGGGAAAGTCTGGAATAGTTACATAACTACCATGACCCAAATTTATTTTCAACTTAACCAGAATTAACTCATGGTAATTTGTCCATACACAAAGCAAAGTCGTGAATACACTATCATGTATAATAGTCATAGAAAAGAGAGAAGTGCATATTGCATCATAGCAAAGTGCGTCTGATTGGGCTTGCCTTTCATACTAACCTAGTTAAGATGAAAGGGTTTTGCTATGATGCAATATGTACTCTTTTTTTTTTGTTGTATCATGTGTTGTGCTTTTCATGGTCTTTTCATCAATAAAATTTTCTTTTGCTAATCAAAAATAAAAAATAAAATGGATAACTGTCATAACGTTAATCACACTTTTCAAGCAAGATAACAATAAACACTGAAGATATAATTTCTATTAAATGTTTGAGGACATGCTATCTTCAAAAAACATAGAAAACCACCATATGATATTTGAAAAATCATTAAAAAAAATAAATTAAATTATTTATTCATCATGGTGAACATATAATTTTTGAAAACTGTGATGTTCAGAAGCTTGTTTTGTAACTTAGCCTTCCAAACCAAAGAAATTGGAGATTTATGATCATAGCACCCAATAAATCGAGTTCATTTTAGCTGTTCCATAATATGTACATAGTTCACTTATGCAAGAATAAATATACGCTTACCATCACTTAATAAATAACTTTTCATGGAGAGTCTCAAGCTACCATCTCAGATTATTTCAATTTCAGAATCACAAATTAGAAGCTATATTTAAAGATAACTCTAAATTGACTTTGTACTCTTATTGAGAACAATGTATCTAGGGTAGTCAACATTTGGCTTGTAACCTATTACCTACCCAACTTTGTCTATTTCTAATTGCTAGTGCAATCCTATCCCCCAAACATAACGATGTTTCCATGGCACATGTTAGTGTTAGTGCAACTAAAGAAAGTTCATAATTATTTAGAATTTGGAAATTTGGTAGACAATCTCATATATATGAAGTAGCATTGTACAATGTCCATATATACTTTACTATATATATCATATTGTCATTTATTTAGCACCTTAATGGAATTTTTCTCCATTATTAAAATTCATAAGTGAAAAATCTTTTAGAATTCTTTGAAAAGACAAGGAAAGAAACTATCAAAAGAATCATTGATGTCAGTAGTGTTATAGACATATCAGTTGATTGTTGGTTCACAAATGACAACAAAATTCTGCAGTAGCGTTTAACCTGGATCCTTGGACTTCCTTAATGAAAAAAAAAACTAAACAACCATGCATGCCAAACTCTTAAGATTGAGGTTCACAATATAAAGATTACTCGGAAAGGAAGAGCTTACATTCCAACTTAGAACTAGAATTTTGCCTTGCATCTATTTAGCTTATGCAAAGCGTTAGTTCTTTGAGTCTAATGAAGGCATAGGAACTCAGCTTGAACGTGGAAAGGGGGGTATTGAAAACTTACCTACAGATTTCACTACTTGTCATCAACTTATGTGTGGTTTACACACATCAATGTGCACAAGATCTACAAAGCACTATATCCAGAAGTTGCACTTACTAGATTCAAGATTGCTTATTTAGAGTGTGCATGCACAAGAGATGAGTGGGGAGGAGGCATCTCTGCGATTGAAATATGTATTGATTGTAACTTTTTATATCATCTTTTTTTTTTTTTTTTACGTGTGCTATTATTGAGCCACCATTCAAACAGGCCGCAGATGGGTTTTCAAATATGTAGATGGATATTATTACTTCTTTCCATTAAGATTTTTTTCTTAGGTTGTTTTAGCTTTTGATGAGCTTCATTGGAAAAATTGCAGAATCAGTCAAAGAAACTGACACCAAGCTGCAGACCTGCAATAGCAGAAAGCAATAGTATACCTATGCCAGAATCTAGGTTGTCTGATCCTAAAACGTACACTAGCATTAGCAATATCCAGTTTAAGGAACAACTGCTTTTATCAAGGGCTGTAAAAGCCACAACAGCCAAGGTTGACATGGAGATGATGGCACAGAATAGAGGCAATGGCAAGATGAGCTACAAAGAGAAGAAGAAAAATCGAGCATATGATCGATTTCCTTTTGTCATTTCTTTTTCTTTGTTGGGCTATCTTATTGCCTATGTTTCCAAACATGATGTTTTCAAAAATGAAATCTAAAATATTAAAATAAAAAAAAAACAGCTGGTTATAGTTTATCAAAAGACCATTTGGAGAACACAATGTAAGTGGAATTATGTACACAAAAATCTGGAGAGCAAACAACAAAAGGCGTTGGCTTGAACTTGAAGGAAAAATATGAACTTGAAGGCAAAATCTGCAAACAATGAGTAAATGTAATTTGAAAAATGAATGATTTAAGGCTGAACATTACATAATGTACGTACATATATTATGATCCATACATAACTGTAAACATATGGATAAATTAAAGGAAAACACAAAAGAGTTCCCAACTTCAGGCCAATTTCATATTGTAAATTTTTTGAATTCCTCAAATGTGGCCTTTTCAGCTTTGAATATTAGCAGCTGATTGACAATTCTTGAAAATAAGCAACATTTCTAGGTACACAGAGTTCAACTATAGAAAAATATCAGTTCTAAACACTCTGTTTGTATTTTATTTTTATTTTTTTCTTATGAAAAAGTGGAGAAATTTGTGAGAGAATTTTTTTTGGGAGGAAGGGGGGGAATTTATTTTTTAGTAACTTATAAGGAAAAATTCATACCAAAGGAAATAGAAAAGCAAGGAACGACAAATTAATTACTGTCACACAAAGAATTTTATGTAATAATAATGGAACTTGATCATTTCTTTGAATGGAGTTAAAATTCAATTTGATGTC